GCGGCGATCGGCTGGCGTCGACTCGAGCCGGGTGGCCGGCGCGCTGCGCAAGACAACCAGCAGTGGCGCCTCTCTTCCTCGTCCTCTTCTCCTTCTGTTCGGGGGCGGCAAAGAGGGGGGTGATGACTAAAGGGGGGTGGATATCATGGCGTGGGCCATGATATTTCCCCAGATATCATGGCGCCTCTTCTTATTTCATTACGTTCCTGGCCCCCCCGCTGGGCCGCACACATGCCGCCGGTCATGATTTGCCCCCCCCCTCTTTGACACCCCCCTCTTGGCCGCTCCCGATCTGTGCAGTGTCTGTGGCTCCTGGAGGGGCGCCTGCCAGCCCCTGGTGGCGGCAGCCAGGGCCGCTCGCGTGGTCGCTGGACCGGCGGCCTTTGCTTTTCGGGTACTGTCTCAGAGAGAGAGATAGAGAGAGAGAGAGAGAGAGACGGCGAAATGACTGGTGCGAACAGTCCCGTGCAAGAGCGTTCGGAAATCGAACGGTCACCTGGCGCGTCAGGCCCCCCCCCCCCAAAAGCAAGCAGTGGCGCCTCTCCTTTTCCATTCGTGGCCATGGAGATGATCGGAATTGCAGAGAGCCGGGATCACAAGTGCGTGCTCTCTGTAGGGCGACGTTCGAATGGTCTTGCTGCCGAAATGTCCGCGATTATGAGTATTAGCGCGTTGATTGAGCCACGCCATCTCGAAACCGTTAGAGTACATGCTGCGTTGGATTGCACCAGAGAGTCCCAGCGACATTTTGAGTGGTCCGCACACGCAATCGCAAGAATGTGTGGTAAACACGCGACAGTACGAAAGTCAACAAACGTTGTCCTCACTGTCATCTTCTGATGCCAGGGGCGCATCTGGCGCCTCCCCTCTGCTTGCGTCTGCCCGGTCGGCGCGCGTCTGACGCGTCGGCTGGTGGGGCGCGCATTTTTGGCGCGTCGCTTGCTTCGCCGTTCGAAGCGAAACCGAGGCGTGGAGTCACGGAGCTTTGGAGGGGTCCGCGCTGCTTTCCTGACCTTCCCCAGGGGAGCGCCAGAGTGCTGCAAGGCCAGCGGAGCGCGAGTGCCAGAGAAGGGGGAGGACGAAGTCTGGGGTAAAAGGCGAAGCGGATGCGTTCGCGCTTGGCGGCCTGGCTAAGAAAGACGAAGTCTGGGGTAAAAGGCGAAGCGGATGCGACAACGACGTTGCAATGCGCTTGGGGCGTTCGTCGCGAAACTTTGGGCGGGCCGCGCTTCTTCCCTGGGCGGGCCCTGGGCCCCCCGCCCGGGCGCGCGGAGCGCGCCTCTTGCGCCTCCCAGGGGGGGGGGCCCGCGCGCCGACCGCTCGCCTGCGCGAAGGGCCTCCGAGCGGTTTCTGCTCCTGCGGTTTGCTCCGTTCCCCGGCGAGTGGCGACGAGCCCCCGGGGGACGCGGGTGAGGACTCTGCCCCCGGGGGAAGCGGTGGGGGCCTCTCCCTTCGACCGCGCGCAGAGGGGGGTGTTTTCGGATCGCCGCGGCGGTTGCGGAGGGGATGGGGCGGGGGGTTTCCGTGGATGCCAGAGTGGGTTTTATCTGGCCTGACCCAGCTTGTGAGTGGCTTGGACGTGCCCTAACCCAACCCCTCCCAAAATGGTTAGCGGTCCTTTCTATGCCTGGTCATCATGGGAGCCTTGTGCACCTGCGTACGAGGAGGACACGTCGTACATCATGTAACTGGGAAGCGGGCCCCCGGCCCCGGGGGCGGCCCACTTTTTCAAAACTCCCTCCCCGGTTCTTTTGTAAGTCCCCGGGGGGGGGACCGACCTTCTTCGCAGCGCTTCGGGGTTGGGTCCGCTGCCAGAGCAATCAGACAGCCGCCCCGGCGGCCCAAGACGGCCCCGAGCCACCTGTGCTGAGTATGCCTTCGTCGTGCCGTCTGTCGAGTGCTGTTTGCGCCGATCAGCGTCTGGTAGCCGATGAGGTAGCGCCGACTCAGCGTTGACTGGCGTCGATTTGGCGTCGATTTAGCGTAGATTTGCGTCGGTTCGTGAGAGCCAACAAGATGGTCTAGGAGGCTCCCATGAGATGCCGCAGAACCGAGAGGGGGCCACCGTGACACTCCATGAGTCTGGGTGGCGACTGTTCTAGGGAGTGAGAGCCGTGATGTTGGTGATGATGGTGGATGGTGAGTGATTATGGCGCTGTTGATGGTGCGGCTGCTGATGCTGGTGATGGTGATGGTGATGGTGATGATGAAGTCGACGTGGATGACGATGCTGCTGCTGATTGTGTTGGTGATGATTCTGATCATGCTTATGCTTATGATGATGATGACTACAATGATAATGATGATGCTGATGCTGATGATGATGACGACAATGATGATCATTGATGATGACGAGAAGGCTGATGATGGTGTGAAAATGATGGTGACGATGACGGTGATGAGGATGATGTTGCTGATTGTGACGATGACGATGCTGATGAGGATGATGAGGATGATGAGGATGATGATGCTGCATGATGATGCTCATGATCATGATGCTGATGGTCCTTGTGACTATGATGATGATCATGATGATGATGGTGGTGATGATGATGATGGTGGTGATCATGATCATGGTGGTGAGGGTGATGGTGATGACATAGCCGATGAACATGGTGCTGCCTGTGATGATGATGTCGATGGTGATGATGCTGATGATGCTGATGATGGGTTATGATGATGGTGGAGGGTTCATGATTATGGTGATGGTGATGGTGACGATGATGATGGTGAGGATTATGGTGATGAGGGTTATGATTATGATACTGCTGCTGCTGCTGATGATGATGATGCTGATGCTGCTGATGATGATGATGATGATGATGATGATGATGATGATGATGATGATGATGTGTTATGATGTTGGCGGAGGCTGGCGATGATGTTGCTGCTTCTTGTGATGATGTCGATGACGATGATGATGACTATGATGATGATGTTGATGCTGATCATGATGATGGTGATGGTGACACTTGTGATGGTGATACTTATGATTATGACGATGCCGATGAGGATGATGGTGAATCTCGTGATGATGATGCTGATGATGATTATGAAGTTGATGGCGATTAGGATGGCGATGATTCTGATGATGACGGTCATGATGATGTTGCTTTTGCTGAGGATGATGGTGATAGTGATGGAGACTATGATGATGTGGTGATGATGATGCTGATGATGATGTTGATTGTGATGATGGTGGTCATGATGATGCTGCCGATGATTACGATGATTAATCTTGTGATATGATGATGCTGTTGATGGTGATGATTACGAGGGGAAAGCGGTAATGATTGGGATTCTTGTGATTCTGATTATGGTGAGGGTCTTGGTGAGGGTGATGGTGTGCTGATTTCGATGGTGGTGGTGGTGGTGGCTGTGAGGATGACGATGATGATGAATATGCTGATGATGACGATGACGATGATGGTGCTATATGATGACGATGACGATGACGATGACCATGATGATGATGATGATGATGATGATGATGATGATGATGAGGATGAGGATGAGGATGAGGATGAGGATGAGGATGATGATGATGATGATGATGATGATGATGATGATGATGATGATGATGATGATGATGATGATTGATGATCATGGTGGTGGTGGTGGTGGTGGTGATGACGATGATGATGATGAGAATGAGGATGAGGATGATGAGGATGATTTTGATGACGATGATGATGATGGTGATGCTGATGATGATGATGATGATGATGGTGATGCTGATGATGATGATGACGATGATGGTGATGGTGATGATGATGATGATGATGACGATGATGATGATGATGATGAGGATGACGATGATGATGATGGTGGTGGTGCTGGTGATGATGATGATGATGATGATGATGATGATGATGATGATGATGATGATGATGATGATGATGATGATGATGATGATGACACCGCTGATGATCACGATGATTACTCTTGTATTAGGGTGATGATGTTGGTGATGGTGGCCCCGGCGAAGCGGCCGGACGGGGCCACGCCCGCCGTGAGCTCAGGCGAGCATGACGTGGAGCGCGCCGAAAGCGTACTCCATGGCAGGGAGGGGATTCGGTAGCAAACCATGGGAGCTTGGTATACCTTTTTAATTCTGTCTTTCGCGTCGATTAGCGTCGGTCTGGGAGTCGATGAGATTTCGCCGAGTTAGCGTCGATTAGCGTCGATTAGCGTCGAATTAGCGTCGATTAGCGTCGACTGGCGTCGATTTAGCGTCGATTTCCACGGGTCGACAAGATGACATGGGAGGCTCCCATGAGTTGCCACCGAAAGGGGGGGGGAAGGGGCAGGCGGTTAAGCATTATCGCCGACCCTTCCACCGCCTCTCCCGCGCCCGCGCTGGCGCCGCGCTCCGCCGCTGGGCGACGCCGCGCTCGCGGAGCGGCTCGAGCTCGCGGAGCGACTCCGGCGCCGCGCAGTTCGGCGCGCTCCACCGCTACTGCGAAGGCCTTGCAGCCAGTGCCGCTAACCCTGAAGGGGGACGACGACGACGACGACGACGACGACGACGACGACGACGACGACGACGACGACGACGACGACGACGACGACGACGACGACGACGACGACGACGACGACGACGACGACGACGTCGCGGACGCTCTGGAGCTGAAAGCTTCTTCTAGGGAGGGCCCAGTGACATCTGTTTGGACTCAGAGCGTGAATTACCTACCCCGCTTTCGCTTCCAGGCAAAACCAAGTCATACCATACGCCTCCTCGTCAAGCGGCCTGACCAGTACATGCCGTAGTTTGGCATCGCTTGGCATCTCTTGGAAGCGAGGGTGGTCAAAAGCGAGGTAGGTTTGTTTGCCCCCTATGGACACCCTGAGAGAGCGTGACTGAGGGGGGGGGAGTGCTGTCAAGTCATGATTCGCTCCGGCGTCGTTTTGATAATGCTTTACAATGGTTCAGTCCTGGCTGGCGCCGGCGCGAATCGTGGAGTGACCAGGGGGGGAGGGTGGGGCGGCTGGTGCCAGTCATGGGCGATATCGCGAATTGTAAAGGTAGCTCAAGAACTCTACAGCTATGGCTGGGAGGTCGGCGCTGAAAGAGATATGCCGCGCCCGATCTCGCGCCGCGCCGCGCCGATGGCGCGCCCCGCGCCGCGCGCCCCCTCCAAGTGAAGACGTCGGATCCGCGCCGCGCCGACGGCGCGCGCGGCGCCGGCTTTGCCAAGCGCGCGGCGTGGCGGGACGCGGCGGTGAGCGCAGGACCCCCAGAAGAAGAGGGAGCTGCTGGAGCGGGCCCTGGGCATCATGACGAACGCGTACGGCCCCAGCCACCTGGAGGCGATCCTGCCTGGGGCGCCGCTCATCCTCGGGTCTTCTTCGGGGGGCAGCGCTGCGACTTCCACCGCGCCCACTGCTCGCCGATCTGTGTGGGGCTCGAGATGCCGCCCGGGCCAGGGCTGTGCGGTTTCGCCACGGGGGGGCCCCCCATCGCCGAGGATGCATCGCCGCTTCCAGGTCGACGCCCCCCCCCCCTGCCCTGAGAGCCAGTCCCCCCCTCTCGTTGCACCTCCCCCGTCGGGGCTTCGCTGGCTCTCGGATCTTCTCTCGCCTCGCGTGGAGGAACGCACGGCGTCATCGCAGGCTTTGGGAGGTCCGCGGAGGAGAGCTGCTGAGTCCTCTGCCTGAAGGGGTGACGGGCCTTCTCCTACGGGGCCCCGTCGCGGGCCCTTGGCCTGGGTGCGTCAGGCCTCGGTGGGGTGGGAGCAGGGTCCGCTGGGATGGCCCCTGGACAGTTTCGGACTCGTCGGGCTCTCTTTCTCTCCCCCCCGCAGTGGCGCACGGTCCCCCTTCCTCGTTCCTCCTCCTCGTCCCCATGTCCGCAGGATGATGCGATTCACGAGGAGGAGTCGGAGCAGGTTCAGGAGGATAAGGATGATGAGTGATGATGGGGAATCGGAGGATGAGGAGGAGACGGAAAGTGACATGAACGAGGGGGGGGAGGAGGAGGAGGAGGAGGAGGAGGAGGAGGAGGAGGAGGAGGAGGCGCGCAGGTCGCCAGGCTCTCCACCAACCTGGGGAACGCCTTCGGCGTCTTGGGGCAGCCGGGGCGGAAGCGGGAGTACCTCGAGGAGGCGGCGCGACCGCCCAGCCCCCACCCGAGGTGTTGTTGCGAGGGCTGCCCAGCTGGTGCCTCGACTGGGGTTTGGCCTGGAGCGTGCAGCAAGGCCGAGCCCCTAGAGATCCGACGCTCCGACAAAATTGGATCTGGCGGTTTTTGGCAGTTTTCGACCTCCAGAGGCCCTCGCCGGGCCTCGGGATCGTCAAAAAACGACTCAGGACGAAACGCCGTCCCCAGGGAAGTGGTCCAGACCTCCGGGGCCCGCGCATCGAAAAAGTTGGAGCAGCCAGATGTCTGG